AAATAAGTTTTTTTTTTTTTTGCCAAAACGATAGATAATATTATAAATCAAAATACACAAATGTGTGAATACACAACAGCCAACAGCTGAAAAAGTAGGAGGACAGGTCAGAAGATCGTCTAGAATCTCGGTTAGCAACGTTAGAATAAAAGTACTCGCAACTAAACTAATCAACTACTCCAACAACTAAAACAACTAAAAGTGTCGGATCCCACTAGGATAATAAGGTGACAATGCACAGAGACCAACAGCCCAGACCAAAAACATAATCCTAAAAAACAAAATAACATAAACACGAATCAAACAAGTAAACTATATCTAATAAAAACACGCCCCTCCTCCGGCAAAACACCCGGTCTGTAAGAGAACAATAGATGACTCCTTGAAGAGATTCAAGATACGAGAGCCACGTTCGCCACTGCTGTCGAACGCCTAGCAAAGACGAAGACTCACACTTCAAGTCAATCCAAGAGCCGACCCGCTCTACCGCCAAAAGATGTCGACCCGTCCTACACCAACCATCGTCCCAAAAAATGGCTAACACCACTAGCCAAGTTCTGGTAACATTGGTCCTCCCCCGGACTCAACACCAGAGAGCAAGAGAGAAGGAACCACAAATCGACATCAATGCCCCGGTTATCCCATCATAGTCATCACCACCGGAGCACCCCTCCCAGCCTCCGAAAATGAAACCCAGCCCACCCACTTCCACCATTGAGAGTCAGGTAGCCGGGAACCACAACCGACACCTACTAATCGGGAAAATGGTAAATGGGCAATGCCGCTGACAGGATAAAAGATAGGAATCTCTCGGTAGATGACCAAGCAAGAAACCTGGGCCGCAGCCAACCACTGTCGTCGCCCTCCACCAAGCCTCGCCACCCAGAGCTACAAGCGCAAATCAAAGAAATTCGTCGTAAGCCACCATCCTCAACCCTAGACGCGTGAGACAAGGGGGAAAACACAACGAGCAATAGCGATGGCGCATGCCGGAGAGCTGTCCACCTGCAGCTAGGGTTGTAAACGAATCGAATAAAAGGAATACTCATAGATTCAATTCGATTCGTTTAAAATATTCGAAGATTCGATTCGTGATTCCATTCGATAACGAATTCATTTTTTGATTCGATTTCGATTCGTTTAGAATATTCGAACATATTCGATTCGATTCAAAATTCGTTTTCAAAAAAATATTATAATTACAAAAATAAATTTTATTTTTTATATATTTTTAGAAAATTTTGTCAATTTATAATGTTTTTACATTTTATGTCATAAAAATATTAGGAATATAACAATATATATATATATATATACATATATTATAAACAAAATGTATATATATATAATTTGTATAAAAATATTATAATTACAAAAATATTATAATTACAAAATAAATTTTATTTTTCATATATTTTTAGAAAAATTTGTTAATTTATGATGTTTTTATTTTTTATGTCATAAGAATATTAGGAATATAACAATATATATATATATATATATATATACATATATTATAAACAAAATGTATATTATATATAATTTGTAAAATTTATATAATTATTGTTAACGAATCGAATATTTGAATTTCGAATCGAATATCTATACATTCGGATTCGAATTCGTTATAATTTCGAATCTAAAACATCATTCGAATTCGAATATTTCGAATTCGAATAACGAATTGAATAAAAAATGTTTGATTTGTTTACAACCCTACCTGCAGCCGGCTGTCCGCTGGAAGAGACACTAATCGACGGGAACGAGGCTAGGTCACAACAGAGGAAAAGGGGGTTTTTTTCGCTAAACGACGGAGAGGATAGTTATCTTAATAATTATTTAGTAGACAAATAAGCTAGCTTATATCTTATTTGATTAGCTGATAAGCTTCATGTATTAAAATAA